GTAAGATGGAGGTAGGGGGAAGGAGGGGGAGGAGGAGGAAGTGGAGAAGGTGATAGAGATCGAATAAAGAAGGTCATGGAGGAGGAGGAGGAGGAGGAGAGGAGGAGGAGGAGGAGGAGGAGGGGAGACGGTGTTGGAGTAGGCGATGGAGGAGGAGTAGGAGGGGGATAGTTGAATTATTCACATTATCAGGAGTAGATAACTCCATATGTGTTTATTCTCTGTTTATTCCTGATTTGAGATGCTATAGCCATTAATACTGGTTGCAATTTGCTGTCTTGTACAACTATATCTGACCAAGGTAAGTTACCATTGAATCAATGCATTGCATTAGCTACAGTGCATACAGCAAGTTTCAGCTAGTAGTAGTAGACAATAGAATAAACAATGCTGACTGCAACGTGCAGTTAAACAGGTAGTTTTTGTGAATATGCCGCGTTTTTTTGCATATTAATATTTGCATATTATTCTCAGTTTTTACTACCTCTGTCCCAAGTGCCTGTGGGACAGAAGGTGGTTTTGTTCAATTTTACTTGATCCTTTTAAACTCTGTCCAGTTTTGCATTTATTCATTTGTTTATGATGCATTGTTCACATTGTTGCATGACAGTCGTTTTTTGTATTGGTGTATTATTTAAACCAGAATCCCAGGTTAAAGGAAAGGAGTGTATATGCACAGGTGGTCTACTGTTATGTCTATATATACTTTTCTTCAGGCACTGGAAGCAAGATCTACCAGTGATGGAAATACAGCGACTGGGCATGTGTCACGGAATGTGTTTCAGGTGAGAAACTATATACTTTGCAGTGTCTTTGTGGGACACCTTAAAATAATCAAGAGCCCATTAACCCCAGAGCGTACAACGCTGAAATAGGAAAACCATGGTGTCGTTTCGGCAAAATTAATAAAGTTTACCTACCTTATTTTGATACTTCTCTACCGGAATATTATGCAGGAGTCGTAGCTAGCCAATATAAGATCAACCTCTTGTCTCTACGATGTTCCTATGCTGAGATATAAAGCGATAAAAATCGAGTACTTCTAGGTAATCCTAGCGCCATATGACCCAGTAACACGCCTCTCACGCGTTTAGTGACTGCATAGATATATACAACGTGCTAACCATGTGTTGTATTACCATGTGTTGTATATATCTATGCAGTCACTAAACGCGCGAGAGGCGTGTTACTGGGTGATATGGCGCTAGGATTACCTAGAAGTACTCGATTTTTATCGCTTTATATCTCGGCATAGGAAAATCGTAAAGACAAGCGGTTGATCTTATATTGGCTAGCTATGACACCTGCATAATATTCCGGTAAAGAAGTATCAGAATAAGGTAGGTATACTTTATTAATTTTGCTGAAACGACACCATGGTTTTCCTATTTCAGCGTTGTACGCTCTGGGGTTAATGGGCTCTTGACATAATGTTACATGATCCAATGCACTTCTGAACATGTAACGAGTATACAGATTTAACATTTTCTTATAGATTCAAGTATCTATATTTAGATTCATGCTAGCATATCAGACTATCTCTACTAGTGTAGCGCTTCACTGTGAAAGGGGTTGCAATATTATTGGCGAGCAATTTGGGTGACAAAAATAGAGCCAATAAAATACTAGGCAGCATTTCGTCTTCCGAATTGCTACGGAATTGTCACGTGAGCTGGCGAATTGTAATTCTAGCTAGTTTATTTCTCTCGTCAAGTGACTGTCTCATCTAGTATCTCTTAAACAAATGTAATTCTTGCAATATGTTTTTTCATAGGCATAAAACTTGTTTTGCTTTGCGATTTTAATTGGTAGTGAATCACAAGTTTGCGCGCTTGCATTTTCCAGGAGTTCTTCAGCCATCCTTCGCACGCCGACTTCGGTAGGTTGCTGTTTGACAGCTTTCAGCGATCACAGGGGGCGCTGTCGTCAGACGTGATGTCGCGAAACACATACGAGGTGGCAGCGAATCGTGCGAGAGAGCTGATGACCTTCCACAACTATTACTTCACACTGTTCGCCGATGGCAAGGAGACACTCGGCATTGTGGGTATATACTGTCCGCTTGTTATTGACCTGCTGCCAGTTATTTTAGGTGTAGCTATAGCTGTAAGTTTAAAGGCAGAGCGGGTGAATCTCGGCGTGTGATGTTGGTTTGTGTCGGCATGAATTAGTTGGGAGTTGTTGATTCTACTCCCAGTACAGATGAGACCAGGATCTACTCAGGATTGAAGAGATCGTAGTGTGCAATAAAACCAATGGTTTTGGGGAAATCGCCTAACCAATGAGAAAATCTCACTCTAACCAATGTCATGAAATGGAGTATGCTAAAGTTCTCAAAATTATGTTTCTTCTCAAGACGGGTAAAATATTGTATGTAGATTGGTAATAAATATTATCATATAGTATGCCACCCTACAACATCCCATGTTGTACTAGTTGTACGATTGTGTTTGTATGTAATATCAGCTATAGGTGTTGGATATGTGGTAACCGAAAATTACATCAAAAATCTCAGTTATTTCTCATATAATGTCAGTAATGTTAGAAGTTGTGTGGTGGTTTTATATTCCAGTAGGTTCCATTAGTTTCCGTGAGCTACTGGTAAAAAATTACGGGAGAATAACACCAGTAGTTCTGGAACTATGTGGCAAGGTATTGATTTTTATCGTCTTTGTTGGCAGAGCTCTCGGCCATGTTGGAGGCTTGCTTTGTAATCACAATCTTTAAAGTGGATCGGGTTACGGAGGAAGAGCAGAATGTGATTGCTTCACTCGTGAAGTCTGCCGTAGGTATACCGTACAGCAGGGGTAGAAATTAACTTTTGAACAAGGGAGTCCAACGGACTCCCTGCCCTCAAAAAGAGGGAGTCCACAGCAAAATGAGGGAGTCCGCAGTCTGAAGTTCACAACTAAATATATTAACAATAACGCATGTGCTTATTTTGAGGATTCCTGCAGTTGCACGTCCGCCAAATTTTCTTTGGACATTTGCTGAAAAAATACGGCAATTCCGCAAGGCCGTGCGCTGGAACGAACTATAGTTAGTATAGCAGAATTTTCAGGGAGTCGCACAGACTCCTGCATATGTCAAATCAGGGAGTCCAGCAGTAAATCGGGGAGCATTTGACTCCGGAATCGTGCTAATTTCGCACCCTGGTACAGTGAAAACACCGACTGTAAAAAACCATGTGTGGATTTTCAACCAGTTTATCTAACTATAATTGCATGGAGAGAATTAGCCCTGAGAGTAGCACAAAATTCTCTCACTTTGTCATTTGTCAGTATCCTCTGCAGTGTTTAAAAATGTGACAGACATATAAAGGTAATTTGAGGATAATTTAAAACTGTTAAATTTCACATTATCTCTCATGCACTGCAATTTGTTAGAATAGTTGTCACGATTAGGTAATCGTTGTCTTTGGAGCACCTAAATTCACGCGTGCATGACAGACAGTGGGAAGTACTGACGCGAGGTCTTGCTTGTGTTTGCCTGTGCAGATGGGGACGTCTTCTGGCATTGGCATATCGGAATTCGATGGCTGGGCCAGCGAATGTTGCCTGCGGTTGTTTGATGGTGTGCACGCGTGGTTGCTGCGTAGACTCATGGATGCGACGTGGAACGGACTGGTGAGTGTAGGTTTCTTGTCGCCGGCTCCACGTCGCCACTTTAAAAGTGCTGGTAATAATAGCAGGAGTAAATAATCACGAAGTGGTTATTTCACTTTGTGTAAATAATCACAAAATGGTTATTTACTCCTGATAATAGCAATGCTGTTTGTGTCCTTCCGAATTAAAAAAATGTTTACTTAAAATACAAATTCGAATAACGTTTTACATTAACTAACGCTTTCGCTTGATTAGAAATGTAATGAAAATAGGAAATAGATAAAAATAATTGAAAAGGAGAAAATAGATAAGAATTTGTGATGGCCTTAGGATGAGGACCGTATTCCGGTGAGAAAATTTCTACATCCAAGGTGAAAAAAACGTCTTTTCGGAAATTTCCATCATTAACAAAGCGAGGCACAAAACCAAGTTCTTGTCATCTGTGGTCTATTTCAGGCAGAAATTCAGTTGGAGAGCCGATCGAGTCATCTGATAAATGCAGCTATGCTGTGGCTGTGTTCCACATTCCTCCCATCCTGCTTTTGTAATGGGCAGGTGCCAGGTGGCGCCACGCTACATCATGTGAGCATTTCATCCATCTGTGCTCTGTGCCTTGTCGTTTAGCTTGCTGTAAGAAAGTTGGATGTGAATTATGAAGTCGCGAGAAATGACATGCATCATGTAAAATAACAGCTTGGATGGCACTCAAAGTGTTGATTTAACTTTCAAGATCACTCAATTTTAAAGTTCAAGATGGCTTGTACAATTGAAGTGGTGCCATGAAACTCTAACGGACATCAATCGTAAAAGCAGTTGTGAACTTTTAACTGAAATGCTGAGCGTTCATCAGTGAATAATGTCTGCGAACGCTCTAGGTGGCGCTACCGAGTCTTCCAGAGTGGACTCTTCTATACGACAGCAGTGATCAAGGACTGAGCTTGAACAGGTGGGTCACCATCACATTAACTGTATGACAGCCAGGATCTATTCTAATTTGGTGATGGCTTCCACAGGGGGTTTTCATAGAGGTCAGGCGCGGATTTAAGCCGATTTGCACAGGTTTCCAGAAACCGGCCACAGGCCTCAAAATTCACCAGAATGCACCAAATACAGCCTAATTAAAAAAAAATTCCCGGTGGGGCATGCCCCCGGACCCCCCTAGCTGCAGAAGAACATATGGAAACTGGTCACGCAAACCCTCTGAATCTGCCCCTGGAGGTGAGGGATGTTTAAGTTTTGTGGGGTCTGTTATGTGGAACTGGTGTCATCTCATGCTTTACTTGGAACATATTCGTTAGTGCTTGCATGTAACTGGGTATATTATGATATTAATAATAATTTATTAATAATTATAATATAGAGGTTTAGTGCTAAAGGTGGAAATGGTAATTAAGACTAATATAGCCAAGAACAACAATATCAATGAAGTTTTCATCATATTTAATTCATCATGTTAGAAAGAAGAACAGAGAGAGAGACGGATAGACAGCCAGATAGACTGAGAAATAAAGAACAGGGAAGAGGCGAGGGAAAGATCGAGAATATGGTTTTCAGAGATGTATTTGACCATTTTCCAGGTTTGAACATAACTGTTTCAAGTATCAAAGCCCCACTGTGATGCTTGTGTCTCTGTCAGACGACTTTAGCTTCTGTGTTGCAACGGATGAGGAATGGAGGTAAATTTCTAGCTACATACCATGTAAAAGTACAAGTCGCAGATTGAATACTGTATACGCTGTATATTTCGCGGTGGTTTAATTTTTGCGAATGCGTCCCCTGCTGCGAAAATAACAACACGCAAATAATTCATACCGAATAATTCATAATTCACTGACCGCGAAATTAACCACTTGCGAAATTGCCCATCAACTCTGAATTCGCGAAAATATCTGTACGCGAAAAATATGGTGTATACAGTAGTTGAATGGGCAGCTAGTTCTAATTCTGGCAGTGTTTGGTTGCAGGGAGAGTGTGCAGCGGTGGGGCAGCATCAATACGATAGTCACACAGATCTCACCCAAGCTCAGACACTTCGAAGGTGAGTTGAACAATAGTCACATCGCCACACCCTTAATTATAGCCACCCCGTTGCAAAACGCCTTCCTTGCCTCGCCGTTCGGTTGATGTCAATACAGCTCGTGTTGCCAACCAAGCGAACTCGGTTTACTTCTAACACAGGTGGCGCTTCGACACTGTACCTGAATCAGAAGACGAGAGGGCTTCCGCTAGGGATTCAGATAGGGAGCAATCCAAAGCTTCCGATCCTCTCTATAGATAAGGGCATGGCCACCGCTACTCACGCACATGTCGCTAGAACTCTCTATCGCATCGAGGTTTGTTTATTTTGTGTTTTGATCAGTCGCTCCATCTTGTCGTCATCCAATCGCAGTCACCATGTGAAGTGTAGTTTACTTTATTAGATTTAGCTTGGGCAGTGTAGAAAGAGATTTCAGTGAATATTGAAGGAACTACTCTGTGATGGATGGGTTAACATTCTTTTAGAGTGTAAGCTTTGACTAATTGCTGCTAGACTTATAAATTATTTATCACTGAACCTACTGGCTGCTAGATTTTCTGAGTGCTTTGAAATTCCTTCAACACTCTTTGCTCTTGTTTTCTCTGTGCCTGTAATTCTCTGTGAATTTGATTGTGCTCCACTTACACACCTTACGAGCCATACCTACATATACATGTACAGGTACATATTATACACATACAAATACACGTACACATACACATATACATGTACATTTATATACAGTCGTACATACTATATATACTATAAGATAGTGTAGTCAAATGTGTGATAGGGAACTTTTCTCAGTTAGAATGCTGACCAGAATGGTCCACAAAGGACACTTTCCCTTACAAGTGATGCTGATTTACCAGTGCAATTGTACTGTTTTCAAGAATTCTCATTGTGGTAAGACACTCAATTGATGCTGTCCAGTCATACTGCTTTTGCACCTGATGCTCCCATGATTTGCAGGTGTGGGGATGTGGCACGGAGGCAGATAAATCTGCACAGACGACGCACAGACAGTGGGAAGCACAGCAAGCCCAGAAGGAGAGAAAGGTGGCATGATGCAATATTCTTCTCCCTTTAACAAGTTTGACTGTTACCACCGTGTTGGCTTACCTCACCATTAGCTACACCTACGTACACCTAGCTACACCTCTCTATACATAGTTACACTTAGCTATACCTAGACCTATCTCTTTGAACTCCTTCATGGGCGCTGGGCATTCCCCACTTGATAGCTAGGGTAACTACGCATATCTATTATGTACTTCGATCGATATCGATTGATGCTGTTCGGTGGAATGCGGCAAATGTGCGCGGGGCCTGTTCCCTACCCCGGCGCCCCCTAGGTGGTACTCTACAGCGCCCCCTAGTTGGCATTCTACAGCGCCCCCTAGCTGGCAGTATCTACAGCGCACGTGTTTTGTTCGAACAGGTGAAGTTGCCGGGACACTGGGACGAGGACAACCCAGACATGGCCTTGTTGGAGATGGCAGGAGTTAAGGTGCATCACTCGGAGCGAGGCGACGTGCGTGCCGCACCGCGCGGCGCCCCCTAGTGGACGCCGGAGTTAAGGTGCATCACTCGGAGCGAGGCGTCGTATGCGCTGCAGCGCCCCCTAGTGGATTCCGGCGCTCAGGTGCATCCCTCGGAGCTAGGCGACGTGCGCACTGGACAACGCGGCGCCCCCTAGTGTATGCCAGGACGGTGCATCTACGTTTACTCACAGCAACGAGGGTTACCACTTTCAGGTAGGTCACTCATAGGTGGCGCCACTCGGCTGTTATAGCTGTTAACCCCTATAGAGGGTTCCGCGAATTTTCAAATTACCCACAATGCAATGCCGCCGGCCATAACGGTTTCAGAAACCAGTTCAGGCATGGTACAAGTGCATTGAGCAACGCACCTCTGCTCATTTTATTCCCCTATTAAGCAAATCCATCACAACGCCGCTCTCCTGCGGTGTTGTCAACTGCAGCAATCGGTATCAGAGAGAGCCACACAGCATTATTAGGCTGCCTAGCGTGATCACAACACAAGGTAAAGTGACGAGAGACCAGGCGGACCACAGACGCTTGGAGCATTTTCAATAAAAAAGCAATGCTGAATAAACACGAAATGTATTTACTATCAATGTCTTAATGTTTCTCTACTCTCTTTCGCCTAGTATTGCCGATAATTACCTGTAAATCCCGGTCAAATGCTTCTCTGCAAAACACAGGTGCACGGCACACGCCGCTACACATTTACACTTATATACATATATTGCCGGCATCCATGTAGTAGGCAGCTGTTTGAGTGGGGGTGGTGATTTCTCTTGCATGTGCAGCATACTGTACATAAAATAGCACCGAGGCAACGTGAACAGAATTCACCAAGCCCGGCTTTACAATTACAGTGTGCTGGACTGATGGCCTGTCCCATATTCTCTCAGTCGTGACCCTCAATGCCAACAGATAGAGAGATGGTAAATCAGAGACTGGGACGTGGCAGTAAACACGTGCCGTCAGATAAACGTAAGATGGGAGCTCTAAGACGTTCACAATGATAGATGTAGACTGATTACAGCTACTCAACCCACCGCAGACAATCGATCGTAAGCAATCCAGGGCTTTTGTGGTTCTGAAAAGTCCTTGAGAGTATACATGGTCTCGGCTAGAACACGTTATAGGTAGTCATCACAGAGATCCAAATAAGGCCTAAAACAAAATATAATGTGTGGTTACCGTTTCATTCCCGAAAGAAAAATAAGGGAAGGTCCGGTCGGTGAAAACATTTTTATTTTACTTGAAAAATTGTATTTACGGAAACCATGTCCGAAGTGGTTACGTGTTGTGTCTTGTTAAATGAGGCATCAACACAGGTATAATTCAGTATCGTAGGTTTATTAATCTCATCTTCACTACAAACTATGGAAGCTTCCTCTGGTTCACAGGCTCCCGGATGTACTCGTTAAGCGCCAATCTACTGGCAAATAATAACTCATAACATATTACTTAACAGTTAACGAGTAAATTACGCGAGAGCGAGTCTCCCCCTCACAATTAATGATCTTAAACAATAAAGAGCCAAACTAATAAAACCGACATGTCTTGTCAACTTCCACACATGTTCTCCATCCCGAACAACTAACTGTCAATATGGAATTACAACACAAACCGACACTAATAAACTGGCTTCTTGTCACCTTTACCACTAAAATCACACCCAAATCTTTAACGTTGAACAAGAATTAATGAATTTAAACTAGCCACACTGATATGCTATGGCAAAATACAATTAAGTTAAAACATCGAAGATTGATCCTGTTTCACTGGTCTCCCGACCTAGTTCGTAGCACATCATCTTCCCCCTTTCTTCTGGGGGTTTTGCCGGATTGGCTCACTGACATGGCGCCTCACATCAGTCTGGTCAGGCATGTCAACCAATGTTGCCCCCTGACTCCTCAGACGCAGGCTACCCTGTGTCGTAACCATCAGCCGCCCATTCGACAGAGTCGGGACACAGCTGCACCGAGTTGTCGGCTTAACCTACAAGCCGTAGGCGCCACATGAGTCACCTTTGTCAATTTTCAAAAGAGGCGTCATTGGCTCTAGAAACACCAAAGAACTGTCTGTTAACGTTATACGTTCTATCCGTTGCTAGGCCGTCCACCTCATATGTTCTGCTTTTGATCTGTTTTAGTAACGCCGTACGGGCTTCCCACTCTTTTAACCTGTCTGAATCGGTTGCAAATTCCTGAACCGGCTCAACACGACCCTCAATGGTGAATGATTCATGTTTCTGAACTCATTCTTACGCTGGGGTTTGCCAGCGTTGCCCTTGTCGTCCATTTTAGTAACGCATCGGCATCTCTGTTCGTTGGTCTTACTGTCTAATGTAGTTGGCAACATAGTTTTAGTCCTCCTGCTCCACAGAAGTCTCTGTGCCGGGCTAGTCTTAGATCTCTCCGTTGGTGTGTTTCTTAATGGTTTGAGTAGTCCAGAGATAGGGGGTCCTCTCCTATGATGCCTTACTATTTTTCGCAATGAGTTTTTTCCACGACTTTTACCGCTGCCTTTCAGCCACCTCCATTGGCCTTGCTATTCCCTGGCTTGTCATTTTCAAGTGTGTAAACCCGCCATTTTGTGCTGAATGTTTCCTAAACTTTCTGCCGAGTTGTACTGAGGTCCACCGTCAGTGATAACTCGTGTCAGGGTATGCCATGTCGGCGAATATGATGTTTTAACTTGTCTATAACCGCCGCAGAGCCTGTGTCCAGAAGAGGTAGTCAATTTCAAAACCGAACTTGCTGTAGTAGTCAAACCCGTGTACTAATGTATGTTCTAACGCCTCAAGGACAATCAGTCAGAGCCAACCTTCTCCCACGGACGGCCTGGTAACTTCCATGCATAACAATGTTTCAAGGTCGCTTGCCCTGTCAACTGGGTATGTAGGCACACCCATGCATGCCTGCAACATGCTGGCGAATGTCAGCCGACATTCCCTGGCCAGAAAACTACTCACGTGCCCTCCGTAGACAGAGTTGATGCCCATGTGTACCAGCACTGTACCTTGCGTTTGATAGCCGCCCGCATGGACTTGGATAACTACTCTCTCACCGTCGAAGTATGATAACCGTCTGCAATCTGAAAGTTCGTCTCTGTATTGAAAAACGAGATGATTGTAGGTGGTTAACCTGATTGTCATCTGGCCATCCTTCATGATTGTGCTCTTGAGTCTGTAAACGTCTGATCCTTTTCGGACAGTGCCTACCCAATCCTCCTCTCCTCCAAACGCCCGCCTCTCTGGATGGAGAAAAGGAATACGTTGTTAACTGTTACAACGTCGTGCTGGTTTGTCCGGTAGTGGATTGCGAGAACAGTTGCATCAGCCACAGGTTATGGATGTACTGTTTATATACAAGGTCCAAACACGTATTTCTGGCCGCACAGTAGGGACTGTAGTCTCCTGGGTGGCCTTTGACAAGCGGTTTTGACACAATCGCTACCATGGCTTGTGATCGTGATATTGTCACTTTCCCACCGTATGTGTAGTAATGGAATTTCTCTCAAACACCGAATGGCTACAGCGAGCATTTCTTTTTCGATTTGCGGCAGTATCTTGTCTCTGTTCTGTCAGAAAGAACGAACTCGCGAAAACCTACAGGTGCGACCATCTTGGAGCTAACACTGACCCCACTCCATATTCACTACATCAATTCTCTAATACTATGATCTTTCGTAGGGTCGTAAATGCAAGAACTGGCGTGCGTTGGACACATCTCTTTCAACGTATGCCGGCAGGAATGCGTTGTCTTGTGTCGGAGATCACAGTCCATCCGCACATCCTTCTTCATGAGATTGCGTAGAGGCTTACCACCTCAGTGAGGTTGGGCAAACTTGGCCCATGTAGTTCACGGTAAACGCCCAAGATCGACGTAGACCGTTCCATGTTTGTAGGTTGGTTTTCATCGCCAATGACAGCTCTGACTTTCTCATCAATCACCTGTCAAGGCGGCCATCTTTTGAGATGCGGTGACCCATGAATGTTAATGTCTCCATCGCCGCGACTGAATTTATCGCTGTTCAGTTTGATCCCCTTTCGCGGACATCGTTTGCAGAATTGCATCCAGTCCGGTGGTCATGTCTTCGACTGTTGCTGCGGAATTATCACATCATCGCGATACATGCTACTCCCGTCAGCGCCGGCCAAGTGCAATTCAATGAGTCTCTTTCCTGAAAGATTCAGACGAAACTGATAGTGGCCGAATGGGAGTCTCCAGCCACCTATGATCGTCCAATAGACATGTTTGGAAATGTCGATGGAGCATACTGGACGCTCTGTGTCTAGTTGAAGCGTGGCCAGTAAATCCCTGTGACTAGATCGGCCCTTCGAGAACACACGGGATTGACTCAACTCGTAACTTATTTGCAGTGTTTCCCTTTAAGGGCCTTGTTGAGCCTCCCGAGGGTCTAAGCATATCCGGCAGCTTGCCAAGACTCTTTCAGCAATCCACGAGAGCTGGCTGACCACGGGGTTTGGTTCATCTACTGGAGTTGATGACACCAATGCTCTGTCAAACGCTGCCAGTTCTGTTTCAGTCTGGGGACGAATTGCAAGTGGTAGCTCTCCTAGAGGCAGTCACCTACATGTATCACTGTGTTGTCCACATTCAGGTGTGACCTACCGTGAAACGGCCAAGTGTTTCGTCAAACAGAGCACAAATGTTGTCAGTGATTTGCCACAACCTGCATACTCTTTTCCACTTGCTCCGTTGACTCACTATCAGTTTCCATATTGCTTCTCAGCTGCTTAGCCCCGAGAAGGGGTGTTAGATCCCTTTCATCACGCAACTGTGAACTCCACTGAATACTATCTGCCACCCTTAGGTTAGCGTACAGTTTGTACGACATGTTCCGAGAGGGCTGTAGCTCGTTGCCATTCCACATCTTCATTTTTAGTTAGGTTGGGGTCACACTTGGTGCAAAACGGAGCTGGCAGAATGTTTCAGCAGATACTGGCCAGTGTCCCACCTGGAACAACAACTGTGTTTCCCAATTGACAGTAGAGGCGCAGCTTTATCTCTTTATAGCGTTTAGGTGATCTGACAAGTTTGAGGGCCAGCTCTGGCCGTCAGAATTCACATCGAGTTTCAATCTTCTGCACACTGCTGTGACCTCGCTAGCTCGTGGCATGCTTGGAGTGGGACATTTTCGCAAAATGCATCTCTTGTTACATACATTAACATGTCTTCCGCCCACTGGGGCATGCAGAGCTTTACCAAAACACATGTGAGAGCCGCACAGAACTTGGCAGCTTTTCTCCTGCGATTGAATGTGGGCCATTCTAAGGGGACGGCGTCGCCTTCTGTTTCGGGGCAGTACGTTTGTTTGCCGTCTCAGGGCGAAGCGTCTTGGCATTGTGTGGCCCGGTGCCGGCGGCGCAGTTTCTGGCCGGCCCGTTGCACACAGTCAATCGCATGTCCACAGTGTAGGTTTTCTCTCCCTTTCAAACGAAAGCCTGCTGCGTACAGAGTCGTGTATACCTAACACGAATTCTGTCCCTGAATGGATGGATGAACGCAGCTGTCACAATAATTGTCATTCTTCCTAATGACCTTATGCTGGCAATGAAAAATATTAAACAGGTTTCAGACTCTTTTTGTCTCGTTGTTGAACAAATAGCGCTCGTAGGTTTCGTCTGATTTCTCTCAATTGCAAATTTGTCAAACTGCTGCTAAAGACTTCATCTACATTACTCTGTGATAGGTGTGCTGAACTCGGAAACCGTTATATATGCCTTGAGGGCTTCCTCCATAATGTATGCAACAACAGAGCCTACTTGCGCTATTCTCTTTGACCTTAAAGGCTGACCTAGACTTGTGATTATTCATAGTTACCCCAGCTTTTTTTGAATATTTTTCCAGTTCTCTGCAGGAGTACAATTCAAAACACACGGGCTGTGTGGTCGTATGCCAGTACCGGGTGCGGTTGCACCGGAATGTTGGTGCTTGACCATTACAACCTCTGTGGGTGGTCTCTTCTCAGCACCAGCTTCGCGAAATTAACGCCGTATTGGCCCTGCTGGCCACTGTTTGCTTTTACCCTTGGCTATATATACAATTAGCGAACTTGTCAACAACTTCGTAGCAGACAGTACACCACAGTTTAAACATGTTAACCATGGCAGGCACACTACAATACATAAGTGCAGAACAGAGCAAAAGTTCCAGAACAATCGATCCAGTCATTCAATGTAGAATGTGCGCTTTCTGTACGACATGTTCATGTAGACACATCGGCGTGCGTAGTTCTTCGTTTTACACCGCGTGCCCACCATGTATTACGTGTTGTGTCTTGTTAAATGAGGCACAACACAGGTATAAGTAGTCAGTATCGTAGTTTATATCATTCATCTTCACTACAACAACTGGAAAGCTTCCTGCTGTTTCACACTCCCGGCATGTACTCGTAGGCGCCATCTACTGGGCATACTACTCATAACATAAATTACTTAACAGTTAACAGTAATTACGCACACGAGGATCGCGTGCGTTTGTGCCTTTTGAAGCAGGACAGTTTCGATGACCGGCCTACAGCTTCTTGATAAAACAGGCCGCTCGATCCTACAGTTATTTAATCACGCCGAAAATTGAAAACACTGCCAGAAACGTTTACCTGTAGAAATCTGTTTACATGAGCATATAACTTCGCAGGGTATTTATTTGAAACTAATCCCTCGATAAACCGTAACATACATGTAAAAACAATGCGATTCGCAGCGCACCACTGCAATCAACTTTAAGTTGGCATCAAGAAACGTGCGTGAGATTGTACGGGTGTCCGGGAGCAATGTGAATTTAACCCTAGGCGTGACGTGATCGTCCTGCACGACAACCGTGCCATATAAGGTTTATGAGAACATCACAGAAGATTTCCTGAATCCCAGGATAAGCCCAAAACGCGAGTTGGCAAAAAATCGATAAGAAGTAGGTGGAGCTTCACATAAAATATGCACTGATAGTGTAGAAGCCCTTCGTTTACTAGTGGTGTTGGCCAGGGTTTATTTACATTCACGTGTCGTGCAGCACGGTCACTGTTCACCGTGCGCTAGGTGTGGGAGTAAATCTCAATCCCCGCCATTTCACGTTAAGGATGTAAAACAGTAAAGTATCACTGTAGCTTATTACATAAGGATCGAGTATACTGTTTTACATAGATATTAAGAAGATTTAGGTCATAAAGTCGACGATTGAATTAACTACAGTAAATGAATAAAATGTCTCAAGATGTAACACACATGTCATACAATTAAGTCATTGAAGCTGGCAACCAGCACAGCGTCGTATAACTAGGGTCATGCAAACAGCAGACAGCCTCGTGGCCGCACCACTCAGGAGTTTAACGTGTCATATTGGTTTTTAACAGTTTGACCAAACTATATACGTGTTATTACAGGGTGTAGCTAAATAAAGCATCTCCCCTACGTAAGAGCTTAATATGTCTATCCAAAATACCATTTACTTTGACGACACTCAACACAGACGAATCCCAGTGCCATCAAAATTTTACAGTAGGTAAATTTAACATAATTTTCGGCCTTTCCACCAAAAAGTGTTGGCTAGTTGTAAGCTAGTTGTTTCTTTTGAAGCAGGCAACTGTCAAATTCATATTTTTTTATAAATATTCAATTTTTTTTTTTACTTTAAAGAAAATTGTCAAAATAAAATGTTAGGGTCGCTGGAATAAAATAGGTCGGTCGGAAAGCGGTAACCAACACGCTATATTTTGTTTGGCCTAAGTACGGTGATGGGCACAGTTGTGGTCCTCGCTCCAATCTCCGTACGGGGTCGATTCCAATGCACGCAATATTTCAATCGAGATAGCGTGCTTTGGCCTGCGTTGTCTAGGTGGACTGAAAGTACTTGTCCATACATAACGTAAACTTCAGAAGTTGGCAAATGTGCATACAACCAGACTTTTATAAAACGATGCGTTTGATAGCTGTATATGCAGTAAAATGCGGTGCTAAATTCGAACACTCGCCGAATGTAAACAAACTCAATTCGCAATGGAAACATTATGTGTTGGCCGTGAAATCTCGCGACGCTATAAACCTCGCATGCAAAGCCCCTGCAAACAAAACAACGAACCCTGTGTAACTCTCATTGAACTCTAGCCCGGAGCACCCCAACTCAGCGCTGATAAACCTGCCTGCAACACCCTGTAAAACCCCGGTCTCGCACCAAAGCATATCGAACTCTAGCACCCCAACACGCGCTGGTAAAACGCTGTGCAAACGCGGGATCCAACTTCCATGCCTAATATGAGATTACTATAATAACACTATCGTATTCGTACTATGTACAATCTATCGATGTAAAATGTGCTAGATTGCGCATATCAGTAACGACGTGTTTGCAATTCTGACTACCAGTATGGCCGGCGGCATCGAGAATTGAGTAATATTTGCTATTTGTAGGCAAGTCGCAGAAACCCAGCTATAGCCGTGCATTTCATTTAAAGCTGTGGCTCGCCATCCTATAGACTAATGACTATCAGGTGAGCAGGGGCGCCACTGTTTGTGGGATGATGTTCCCAGCTGCCCATGTAGGTGCCGCCACGTGTTGTATGTCGTAGTACGATAATTGAGGGTAAATTCGTTTGTAAAAATATATATTCATAAGTTTATAGAGTGCGATTTCAATATTCTAAGCGAAAATATCACGCACACAGGAACAATGTAGGCATAATGATCACGAGCTCTCTCAGTGCGCATCGCAAGATGTTAGTCTGGCATGCATGGTCTACATGCAAGTATACGTGTGAGTTTTACATTCTGTGATAGGCGTCCTACACTTAGGAAATAGGAGAAATGTTAGTGTAAGGCTAGTCTCTCAACACATTTACAGTAGACCTTGGTCAGGAAATACAATAGTTACGACCATTTTAGACGGCGCAGCCCAGAGGCTTCAAGGGTAGACGAACTGAGGTACCGGAATATCTACGTATCGGACCGTATACGAGGGTGTCACCTAAGACTGTAATACGAAAATGCTATTCTGGCGGTACCCCTGCGTTGCGTAGAGCCGAGGGAGACGCCGATGCGCCCGAAAAGAGTGGGAAAGAACGGGTCTGAAATAGAGACATGGTAGCCAATTGCAAAGTACGCATGGTGAGTTGAAGCTGCTAGAATATACATCAAGAGAACATATTACAACAGAAGAATTTTCGCTGTTGGTTTAAAGAGCCGCGAGACCCCAGGGCCAAAAAGGGCGCCAAGGAAGATATTTAGGCTAGATAGGACGGAGACAGGTACCGGGAAGAGTGAAGAGTGATCCAATGATGCAGGTTCATTCACGTCGTCGATCG